TTAATGGGCTAGCCGGAGCACGTGAGTGGGCGTCCCACGGCTTTCCCTGCTCGCTATTGGCCCTACCCAAACACGGCCAGCGTCATATATTGTCCCATCCTGGTGCCTAAGTTTTGAGGGAGTAGCGTCTGGCTTCTTACAAGCAGATGATGAGCTAGCAGTAGTAGCCACAAAGTTGCGAGTTAGCTGATGTGTCCCGGGCACCAACTGTGGTTTGTAGAGCGGCAGTTTGCGCACTTAGTGAGCGTGATTGCCACGGTTCTATGTGACGTAAATATGATATGATAAATGTAGGAAAAGAGTGAAACTCGTTAGCTGCGGGATTCGCTTCAAGAGATGTTGGCCGTGTTTTCGGACTGGCCATATCTTCATTCGCTATCCGTAATTTACTTCTAGCTAACCAACGTCTTACCTGGGACACCACCGCACGCGGTCAGTGTAAGCTCGCTAAACTTCTCCCTGTTGTGACTCGAACGATTAGACTGCCAAATGTTAGCTGATACTCGCGAGGGGCAATAATTTGACTGGTGATTAAACAAGCCACGCGAGGCTGGGTTCCACCTCCAACTAGCGACGCTCTACGCCAACTAGCGCCTTGGCGATCCTATGGTGCCCGTCCATTAAGACGACAGCGCAGTAGCAGCCCGTTCCTAAGATGACACTCATTCATGAGTTTCGCTGCTGTTGGAGATTCTCAACACAATCGTGTGACGAAGATCATCAACAAGGGTTTCATGCGCGTCTGTGGAGATCTCAAACTAGACAACCGCTCGGCACAGCTTTTAAAAATCCATGCATCTGCTTAAAGAAAAAAGCAATGTGCTGCTGCTGTGGAGGTTAGTGGCACTGCTTCGCAAAGACGACATTGGGACTAATTCCTGTTCCCACGCTTTCATGCTAGCTCGGCCGGCTGCCGCATCCCTTCAAGGCAGACCCCAGCACCAACAGCGAGAGTTGTTGCTCTCAAAAACAACACTTGACCGGAGCAGCCAGCTTCATGCAAAGTGAGTAAGAAAGACTGCTCACCAGTCGAATACTACCTCTGCCTGCATTGTTGTAAGCAAACCAAATTAAGTCCTCGGTGTAATACCTTCTCTGCTAATCCATTGGACGTCAGGGCCGTCTCCGCCAATCAAAGCTAGGTGGAAACTGGTTTCGGATTTCATCATACATACGCCCTGTCAACGGTAAAGTTAAACTCTTGCGTAAAGCTTCACTATGGGGTAACACACGATTATAGCAAGTCTACAAAAAACCCTGTCAAACAGCATTCTAGTTAAGCAGAGGCTCTCTCCATTTTACAAGCGATCAAGCATTTGCGCTAAAGCCTTTGAGAAGCTGAGGACCCCGATAGATTGTGGGAGTGCAAAGCCGCTAGATCGGTGGTGCCAGCACTTTGCACGCGCCTTTGGCTGCGAAGAAAGCAGATGGAGGCGCGATTGCAGCCGCGGTTTGCTACAATTTCATACCTGCTTGCTGACGCTCTCCCACAAAACCCCAGCGGCTCACCGTTTTGCAACGCAGCTGCGCTTATCTGTGATGCTTCACGCTATTTGATAGCATTGCTTGGGCCTTATTCTTTTAAAACCCGTACACCTGCTATTATTTTCAAGATCAGATTGGGAAAACGGAGAAGCATTACTGCGTACAAGGGCCGCTGGGGTTCAGCACATGGCACCACCTCGATCATTTGTACATCTTAATTTCGCCCCGCAGTGCCCGTTTACGCACCCTTGATAGTGTTCATTCGAGTCACTCTGAAATTCAGGCTACAATCAAAACTCCTCGCTGTCCTTCTGGTGGCCTACGATGCCTTTCGCAGCAGGGGAATATGTCCTGTCATGCCCAAAATTTTCAGCAACTGAAGCCGGATATTTTACCGACATCCGGCTTCTCGGAAAACCTCCAGTTCCTGGAAAAGGATTGAGTAATCTGGGTATGGTTTTCTTGCTGGGCTTCTGGAGGTCGAGGGTAAGGATACCATCACCGTCGTGACGATAGACTCAGCGAGTTTGCCCGGGTCATCCGTCAAGGTCCAGAAGGTAGCCAAGTAAATCTTTACTCACAAATAATCCAAATGCCAACCGTTTTTCTTAGTGGCGAGCGGGTTAATAATCCAGCAGTTTACTCGTCTACCCGTTGCCCCTCCACACCCATGGTGTACAATCAGAGGTCCCTTTCCGATTCAGAGCCGGACCTACTAGGCCTGGGCCAGCAGCCACCCTTACGAGCAGAGGGATTCGAGGAAAAGTGGGCTAGTGCACGCAAATGTACCCTCAATGCTTAGAAGAGGCAAGGACCGTACTGTGATAAGCGGCGGTGGGCTGTGTGGTATGGCTCTCGAAATTTGATTCTACTCAATTAAAATGCGCTCCTATGTGCACTTAAAAGCTACCAGACAAAGGTTTTTGCCGCAGGTCGGCTAGAACCTCTTGCGCTTTAATCAAGAACAGCTTGAGACTCTACCACGACTTGATGAGCTTTTTATAGACTCCACCAAAAGGTGGGAATGGCACATAACGGTCAATATTGGCTCTTTTAAAAAGCTCTATGTCTTCCCGAATCATTCGCGGACTTCACCGTACAGGTAAGTGACTAGTGTCAAGACGGAGGGTGGTCAGTGGACCGTAGGGGTGCTGGACTCTGACAGCTCCAGAGCGTTTAGACACACCAGATGGGAGTTTCTAGTTGAATGGAATGAGAAATGCTAGCTTCATTGCCTCATGGAGGAGCTGCCACAAATATATTTGTTTCTGGAGAAGTTTGTGGCCCTCTTTTTAGATGCTAGTTGACATAGATGGTCCTCCACTGTTTTTGGCAACCGTACATCCCTAGTGCATGTTCAGAGCAAAACAGCTACCTTTTTCTACAGGTACTGCCTGAACGGTTCCCTGTCACTATTATGAAAGCGTCCCGTACACTCAGATTCACGCGTAAGTACTCTGAGGTGTGCTGTCCCTGTATTCTACTGTGTCGTGTAGGGTCTAGAAATCGAGCACGCTGCATGTACCGGCTATATTGGCATGCAGAAATGGAGGCGCTTTTAAGCTAATGGGCCTCCAAAGTCTCGCGAAGTTTTTCACTTGTCTTCTGGTTTCTCGTAGGAGGAGGCTCACAGATTTCACAGCGCCGACGACCGTGAGCCCTTGCGGCCTCCGCGGCTGTATTGGTTTGTTGCTGGTTTGCCGTTGGCTAGGTTGTGTACCTCTCTTATTCTGTATTTCTTTTCATCGCCATACAGTCACTGTGCATTTCTCATTCGCACTTGTTTGTGCTTCTGCCTGACCGGGGAGTGGTGGGAGGGCGGGGACAACATAGGGCAGGAATTAGTCCGCTGAGCGTGGGCAATCGATCTGGACGCACATGTCCGAAGGACGAAAGCATGTATCTTTAAATGATAAAAGGAAGGCGCCAGGCTACACTTACATGGAATGCTTGGAAGTTGCATATACACACATTCTCGTTGCCCCCTCCCCGCATGTCGGAAAGTCTTGGGGGCGCTGATATACTCCATTCAGAGTGTCCGCAGGGAGACAGTTACCTCTATACTCGATAAAAGGGGACTTCTTGGGTGTTTTCCTTAAGAGCTTTCGCTTTCCCCTGCCTGCACCCCTCAGAGTTCCCGACACGAGAGGACAGTCAAGGTACGAGATGCTGTACCCAACAAGCGCTCTTAGCACTCACAGCAAGTTGCACATAGCATCTAGCGCGCGCATACGACGAAGCTTCTTGTTGCATAGGACTAGTACAACGGCTCAATAAGATATATTGACAGACAAACGAATTAGTCAATTACAACAAATGCTAAGTTGTATGTAGCTAGTATGGTGGCAAGTGCCATGGTGTAGCTGAACCTACTACACAAAGGGAGAAGTTTACCAGAAGAACACTCACTGAATTTTTATTGAATATGTATTCTGTGTGAGGTTGTGTATTTTCCACGGACACTATAGGTGGATCATTACATTTGCTGTTGCGTGTCTATATGTCGAGATTGAGACTAACGAGCACCTAAGGATCTTAATAGTTACTGTAGGCTTCTCAAAAAGAAGTTTCCCATTCTATATCATAGGACACACCACCTTTGGTGATACCGAAAGAGGGACAGCCGCGATTGAGCTCGCAGTGGCACCCGCGCGGTCCAGAGTGCCTTGCGTGTTCTCAAAGCAGCACGCAGGTCCATATTGTGGATCCACCTAACTTGGCTGGTTTGCACAACACTGAGGATTATTCGAAATTTGATTTAGGCTCCGATGCACTGTTTCCAATCCTGATTAAATGTACACAAGCTTAGGAGTAATGCCCCAATACTGTTTTTGTAGCATCGCACTCCGTCCTGTTTTTCTGTCGGACGAATATCGCTGTACGGCATGCCTCTATGTATATCGCACCTAAGTGCATGCCTTTTTGCCCCTTATTCCGGCGTGTGAACACTGCTCACGAATAATCTCGTGCTAATTTTTTTGCAGAGCACCGATGTAGCGCAGTCTCAGTGTTCGGCGGACGCTAATTCTGCACCAAATGCTGCATTAGGTTACGTAGCTCCTGAAAAATAAAGAATCGAAAGAGCTTACCAAATGACACATTAGTTCATTGAGCGTCGTTGAGTATGTTGGTTGAAGCTCCACTGAACCGTGTAAGTGCGCAAGTAGCTGAGGTGCGGGTTTTGTCGCTTTGTGTGGAGAGTATCCATCACCAGCAAATGCAACGAAAAAGACAGCCCATCATTTTTAAAGCTGGTGTGGAGAAATATTATGCATAAGCTTTGGGAGAGGGCAAGCGCTGAAATACTTCCTCAGGCACACTGGGTGTATCACTCTGCTGTTCCTGCTCGTCACACTCGCCGCACCCCCCCTACGCGTTTCCTCGTGCGGCGCGCCCTCTTCAGGGGATGAACTCAATGAGCAGGTTCACACATGTTTTAAAAGAATTTCCCAGTTAAATAGACTGGAGCACTATTGCACCCCTGGTCACTTGCTTTTTCGAGTTCCCAATCGGAGATGGTGTGCCGCATGGGCATCAACGGCTTCGGCCGTATCGGACGCTTGGTCTTCCGCGCCGCGATGGCCAATCCAGCCGTGGTATGACCCAAGTATACTGCTACGCACCATGCTTTTCAGTGCACCACTAGTAGCTTACTTTAGGTCCTTGCACCAATTCGGTGTCTACATGCCCACCCTCATCGCGGGATTGGTGGGGCACCCCTCCGCATCCATGTTTTAACCCCTTTCACCTGGTTGGAGCCCCTTCCCCCTGGGGCTGCCACAACGTGTGCTACTAGACTTTTGTTGAGGCTCAAGTGTCCTCAATATGTGTTAAGCTTTTGTGCTTCAGGAGGTTGTTGCTGTGAACGATCCATTCATGGATGTCAACTACATGGCCTATCAGCTGAAGTACGACTCGGTTCACGGCCAATACCCTGGAGAAGTTTCTGTAGAGGACGGTAATCTTGTTGTGGGTGGCAAGACTATTCTGGTTTTCTCTGAAAAAGACCCTTCGGCAATTCCGTGGCACACCGTCGCTGCCCACTATGTGTGCGAGTCCACTGGCGTCTTTACCAGCAAGGAAAAGGCCGGAATGCATATCAATGGAGGCGCGAAAAAGGTGATCATCTCTGCACCTCCCAAAGATGATACTCCAATGTTTGTAATGGGTGTGAACCATGAAGAGTATACATCTGCTCACCACGTTGTTTCAAATGCATCCTGCACAACGAACTGCCTGGCCCCCCTAGCCAAGGTTGTGCACGAGAAGTTTGGCATCGTTGAGGGTCTGATGACAACTGTCCATGCCATGACGGCTAATCAGCTCACTGTTGATGGCCCTTCGAAAGGAGGCAAGGACTGGAGGGCTGGGCGTTGCGCTGGCAGCAATATCATCCCTGCTAGCACAGGAGCAGCGAAGGCCGTAGGTAAAGTTATCCCGGCTCTGAACGGAAAGCTCACGGGTATGGCATTCCGCGTCCCAACCCCCGATGTGTCGGTTGTCGATCTTACGTGCAAACTTGCTCGCCCCGCCGCGTATGCAGATATTGTGGCCGCAATCCGTGCGGCCGCCGATGGTCCACTGAAGGGCATCTTGGGCTTGACGGATGAAGAAGTTGTATCACAGGATTTCTGTGGTGACAAGCGCTCCTCCATTTTCGATGTGAAGGCAGGAATTCAGCTGAATGACACATTTGTTAAGCTTGTTTCGTGGTATGACAACGAGTGGGGTTACTCTAACCGTCTAGTGGATCTGGCAGTGTATATGTCCCAGAAGGACGGCTATTGATGTGGCATATGGGCTGTTTTTTAAGCATTCGGTTGTGCTTGCCGAAGCGTAATTCAATTTAAGGAGCCTGTGCACGGTTTTGGGCTTCAAACAACAATCGGAAGCATTTACCTGCGATGCTCCATCTTTTGGTGCGTTTAGTGGTGGGCGGCATGTAGTTATGTACCGGACGGCGAGTTTCTATGTAGAAGCTGGTGGGCGGGTTAGTAGGTAAGATAGAGTAAACCAATAATGGCAGTTGATAAGAAACCTTGATCAGGGTCAGTTTTTCTAAACAGCAGGTCGCGCACCGAACAGGTACTGCAACATCGGCCGTTAAAACCGTGTGCGAAGGCTCTGCAAATGAACCACTACAGGGGCCGTGCCACAACCTACACGTTACCGGTGCCGCTGTCACATTTTTCCTACAAAAGGGATAAGTACATCGCTCTAGATATTTCCAAAATTACACTGTATGGTATGGCTGTGGTCCTGGCCTGCGGGATCAAGAGTCGGATTGGGTCTGCGAGACGTCACTTTGCAAGTCCATTTCAGTTCCGTCGGAAGGGTGGAAGAACATGTCGTCTGCGACGGTCTGAAGTTCTTGGGTTCCTCTGGAGTCGTAGTCGGCGTATTCAGGATTGCCTTCAGCATGTGCACTGCCGTCAATATCCAGGTCGTCTGCCATCAAGGACAGCACGTCTTGGTCATACTCAATAGTCTGCTGATCTTCGCCCAACGGTGAATCTGCAGGCGAAATACCAGTGGTTTGACCGACAGAAGAAAGCGAAGAAGGCGCGGTATGGCTTTTGTATGCGGCCGCCAGCTCGTTGAAGTAAGTCACTGCTGATACGGAACGTGCCTCTGCTGTCGTCAAGTAGGATGCTGCCCTTAAGAATGGCTGCGAGCCGGCGAAGTCTTGCACGGACTGGGGCGGGATGTTCCCTGATACCAGATCGACGAGCTCTCCAGCTACCTTGCGGGAAAGTTCCGACGCTTTGTACAAATACCGCAACGTAGAAAGTATGCGAGAATTTACCAATGTCAACAGCTTGTATGCATCACGGGGGCCGTTTTTCGAGAAGAAGGAGCACGTGGAAACGTGGGGTAAGACAGCACCAACAGCAGCGCCGGCCAACTGAGTGCCAAGTCGATACACCTTTGTGGTATCAGACATCGTTGAATTAAACACATGCACGGCGCGCAGGACGCTTTCTCTGGTAGAGTCTGATGCGCACACCGTGTTCAGTAGGTCTCTAAGTGCGCGCAGATGTCCCGTCACACGCCGTGCGTATGAATGACCCTGCTTGATGAATGCATCCACCGGGAACATACTAGCTGCACCAGCACTATTAGGCATGCGCTGAGACATCTCTGCAAAGTCTCCCTCTAATCTCCTTTGCGTGCTTTCGGCTTCACAAAATGCACGAACAGCTTGAACGAGCTTGCTGAGCTCCACCAAAGCGTTTAAAACATTTTCCGCTGGAACCAAAACTTCGGGAAATTCGCTATTCCCGCCCCAACCAGTAGACGGGCGCTGAAATACACGAAAGGTCCTTGTCGCAAGTTCTTGTACCGCTTGGCCTGTACTTGATGCTCTCCACAAGCTAGCTGCAGCGGTAGAAGTGGCCGCACCGGGAACCGCTCGCTGATCTACGCCCACTGATCCTGCCGGTTTGGTTTTTGCTTCTAGGCGCTGTTGAACCAGTTCTTGTTGCCGGACTCCCATCTGGGGTTGCATTGAAGGCATCGTGAATACATGGTGCTGGGGCTGGACTTGAGAATTTGGAAGATCCTGGTGCAATGCTAGTCCATTCCACCAGGACGCGGCTCCCGGCAAATGTTTACTGTCGGTATAAGTAGCACCTGGCTGCCCTGGAACACATAAACAGCGAATACACAATCGTATATACCCCTGGCTAGAGTTCTCATACCAATCTCGACAGCAACGAGAAAACCAAAGTAGCAAAAGGAAAGACAATATACTGTGCACGATCATGCCTAGTATTTGGCAGAAAGCAAAGTGCCCCTGACATAAACGACGGTAAGTTCCCGGTTTACCTTCAAGTAGCCGCGTAGTCCAATCTGTCCGCGACTGCTGCCCTGTACACTCCACGGGGCTAAGGCGCAAAAGCGCCAAAGAAATGGCCACCACAGCTAACTTCATCTCGAGCGTGATAGCCTGCAAGTGATCCGCAAAAGAAAGAGGTCTTTACCAAGTAAATTGGCCGGGTAGCTTGGCTAGGTACGATACTGGGAGGGGACTGTCTAGCCCATCACGAAAGAATCATCCGAGCTCAAAAGTCCCTTGGAAGCGGTATGAGATCAAAGTATTAACCCGTGAGAAAAGTGATTTAGGCCCCAAAGAGGTATTTCGCCAGAAAAAAATGGGCTGCTTGCACCCTCGGGGATCGACGGTACTCACGGAGAGGCCCCCGCACAACACAGATTCTAAGCCGTGAGTTCCTGTGGCTCCTTATTTCCACTTAATGATGCAGTATGCATGAATACACAAGCGTATCATAAGAGTAAAGAAAGACTTGATGGCGGGAAGTCGCTGAGGTGGCAGGAGCGCAGTATCAGCTGCCACGGTGCACGCCCCGCCTTACGCAAACTGTGGGAAGCATCGCTTGGTCCAGTGGACACTCTTCAGCCTCACGAATTTACACACTTTGGTAATACTAAGTAGCAAACGTTTGCTAGCCTATTAGGGGAGGAACATACAGGCTGCAAATGCTTTAGTGCAACTGAATGCTCATCGATCACTTACTCGGAGGACGCTCTCGTGCAGAATTTAGTCACGGACAGCTCAAGTACATTAGCAAGTCTTGCTCTCCTGATCGCAGTTGAACGTGCTTTTTGTTTAACAGAGATTAAACAGTAAATAACTGTGCACGAATAAGCCTTTCTATGCGAGGTGAAAGATTCACGAGGCTTCGGTTTGATTGGCCGATTAGAGACGTGGCAGAGCCCCAACTGGGATCGAATGCACCAGGAATGCGGCGAGGGTGGGCCAAAACTTGCGAGCCACTGTAGATCAAAGAGCAATTGACGTTACTTACGAGCATGGGCAATCCCAGGGGTCAATACTGGGTTCGACTTCAACGCTTCCCACTATTGGTAGGGTGAAAAACGCAGTGCCGGTTCTAGGGTCCCCTTAAGAAAGTCTGCAGTCAAGACTCTGTCAAGGCTAGCAGAAAAGCCATGTATCATGCCTCAAAGGAGCTGTGGTCTCTTTGCCCTCGACCCATGGTCACCTTCGCCTGAGCTGCGCAAGCACCAGGGGTCTGAGAACACGCCAATGCTAAACTTCACTGAATGCCACGTTACGGAACCACTGTATTGGAAAACTGTAGCAGTACCGTCTACATAGGATCTGTTATTGATTTCGTATTTGTTGTGGAGTGGACTACTTTTAGCTGTAAATGGGATGCTCCTGCTGTGCGATGTAGGGGGCCAAGCCAAATGTATAGCAGTCTCTCATGTTGATAATTTTAAGAGGAAGATAGAAAAACAATCGATTCATTGATCTGTGTATTTGCATATGCCACTAGTTTCGAAGCAGAATTAGTGTAATGCAATGAGAATTAATGTTGTACGTCTGTGCATTGATGCTTCATTCGAAATACCCATCGGGAGAGACACAGCCCCAAACCCAATACGAAGCACAAAAAGTTACTAAATGCTTTCAAAATAGCTACCCTATTTCCCTGCCCGCACTACTCGGGTGTCCCACATGAGGAAAGAGGGGCAGCCAGGGAAGGTGTTGTTGTACCCTCTGAGCGCTCCCAGCATTCACCACTAGTTGCACACAGCATTTAGCGCACACGTAACTGACATCCTGAATTCTTGCAACAAGCCGACAGTAGTCTGCAGTAAATAGGATATACGAACAACAAACCGATTTTCAAAATCTTTACTGATTCTTATTTCAATATAGCCAGTGTGGTCAAAAGTATTTGGGTGTAGCTTAGCCTGCTACCCGTTCCTCGCAGGTTTCAAAGAAAATGCCTCATCATCTTTTCCTGTCCGTCGACATAAGGTCCGTGCAGGACAGTGGAGAAAATCGGGCCTTCTCCTCACTCCCCAGGCAGACAGAAGCGCAAGAATGCGGATGAGAAAGGCAAAGGGAACGTATGCCAGCAAAGAGAAATACGTGGGACTAAACCAATACGATGGCATCGGAGAACTGAGCTGTGTGAAACTCCTGCTTGGATCCAAGAGATCACAAGTTAAATTTGTGAAGAGAATAAGATATCACAGTAGCTCGGCAGTGCTTTCACGTTTCATAAAGCAATGCACGCATGCCCATAGAGCGGGCCAAAGCAGAATCGTCTATTTCCTAGCCCCACGCGAGGCATAAGGAATGATATAAAGACGACATAACTGAGAGCAGCTGCGGATGAACCGGAGTCAACGGAACATTTTAATGATATTAACGGAAACTTTCCAAACAATACCCATAGATGGATGTAGCTATTTCTGGCATAAAACACGTGTGAAGAAAGGCCAACTGCCAGAAAATACAATGTGAATCGTCCGTGACAACTAGCGCTTTGAGTCAAACATAGTCGCAAATTCCCACGACGAAGGCCACAATTGATCCTCGGCCAGCCACTGAGACTTGCGTTCCCAACCTCATTACACTAGAGACTTTAGTCCAGTGTGGTTCGATGCTCTACAGTTTCAGAAGCAAGCGCTGTTAGGGCTTGCTGCGTCTCCTCGAATTCTCACAGGTCTATGTGCCTGCGTGGGAGAGTCCGCTATGCTTTCAGGGAGTTTTGAATTGCCGGTAGGAAGTCAAGATAGTTTCGTGGCACATCGAGCTTTAAAGAACTTGGTATCAGAGAGCATTGATTTCAATGAAATTCCAAATGCCTTAAGCCTCCTGAGAGCAAGCGTCTTTAGCCTAGCTACTTTCTGAAGCACATCGTGGAGCTTGTCAGTCTGCCAGTATCGAATCTCAGCCTTGAAACGCACAGCCCAACGCCACATTTCATGATTCGGTCCTCGTTGCTCTTGAGTTTTGCCAATATATTAGTGTCCACCGGCAAGCTGCTCTCTAAATCACTATACATCTAAGAGTGACTGCTAACCCCCGAGCACCAGTGTGCGAAAATAGCTCTAGAATCACGCCCCCAGCTTCGTTCGTTGTAGATGAAGAAGCGCATGGCGCACTAGCACCTTATAACGTGAGGACGCTGCACGATCATAGCTCATAAGGGCGATAAACCCGCAAAAAGCCTAAGCGCAGATGCATGAGCGTCTCAAGCAAAGGTGAAAAGGAGTTTGCATGACTAGTATAACTGTGGGAAAGAATGTTAGTTGACACTGTGATACAACTGCGCGCTATCGATCTACAGTCTAGCTTCACATGAAAATTGAAATAAGTAATAGACCAATTCGAAGAAGTAGCGCTATATCAGACGCATATTCACCAGCTGTTTGTGGCTGAAGCAACACTGACATCGTAGGCGCCGATGGGGAAGCTGGTACCCCCAAGCCACAACATGGCTCGCACGCAACGGTTTGTAAAACGACAATCTTTGGAGGCCAAATGGTCTTCTCGAGCTGCTTGTGCATTGACCCTAGCTTTGCGGAAGCATTCAATCTTTCATAGTGGCGACGGCCTTTGTTATGGGTGCTGGGATCTGAATTGCCGATATGCAACAGATCCTCATTTAGCGTGAACGTTTTTGCACTAGGATTCATTCCAGGCACATTTTTGTGGAGCATTCACATTGATTTTCGGAAGAGGAAGTAAGATTGTTATTTTTCGGTATAGAGTCTGCATGGACATCAGGGAGCTTAAGCAGAGTGTGGATCGATTTGGGGAGGACCACACGCATGTTCTTAACCCACATTGGAGGCCCTTGCTGCCCGATGCTGTTGAGGACGCTTGGCACATCACCGGAGCTCAAAAGCAAGCACCCATCCAAGAACGCTTCGTCGTTAGGGGCCCAGATCTGAGGAGATAGACAGGAGGATACAAGAGCTCGCTGGCGTAGAGCTGCATCACCACCCTTGAGTCCTTTTATATGATCCGTCGAACGATCAACCCACCAACTGGTCGTTACCATACAGGGCCTTGCGATTGTTATTCACGATAGTCGTACCCTCGGCGACCTCACATTGAGCCTGTGCAGCGCTGACTCTTCAAGGTCCGCGGTGAATGAGTTGGCTACGGGCTCTTGGAGGAAATATGGTTGGCCATATCTATTAGATCATTCCGGTTTGGACAAATGCCAAAAGAATAAATAAGAAGAAAAAGATTATCCACTCCAAACATGGTAGTACTCTGAGGCACACACAGTAAAAATGGCCCACGTACGCGCACTTTCGTGGGTCCATCCCCGCGGCCAAAAGATTATCAATCTTCAATTTTGCATTTCCAGTACATATGACCCACAGCAGGAACAAACAGTGCGGAATAGCACCATTCGAAAAGTGCACAACGGGCCTATACAAAGACTGCAGACAGTAGCTGGGGATATTGACTACCTTTCAACTTCACAGCCACTACAGCCTTTCACAACAATCGCTGTGGAAGAAAGTGGGACTAAATTGATGTCAACAAACTAGGAGGTAACTTTGGGCATGACGATGACCCGGCTTTCCCAAGGGACTACCTAACCCACAGCACTGCGGCTGGCATAACGGCCATGCAAGCACCAAGAGTCTTTGTACCAATGAGCTCGCAACTGAAGGCACCTGATAGACTTGTTATTTGCTTGCTAACGTGCAACAGCTCACTAGACGAAATGGTGAAGGGACGAATGTTGATGCAGGAGACTTTGACAGGTGTACCCCACTCCTTGGCATGTGCTGCTAGTCAAGCAGGCCAGCACAATTTGTGTTGCAAGGCTCCCCCTATGTTTCCAGAGTTTCCCTGATGGGATTACTGATGCAGATGGAGCAAAACTACAATTCCCCGGATCTGGCTGAGAGGAACAGCTCCCTAACGATCCAGCCTTCCTAAAAAACAAGCATTGGTATTCTATTTCACGGCTTGGCGGTGTGCTTCAGAATTAGTGCCAGAAACCTTGGGAAGCACTTTGTTCTCCCATCCTGTAGTGGTTCAGGGTTCTGCTAGTACAAGCTACTCTTAGGCGGCCAAAGGAGATAGGATCGGCAGGAGGCTTTGAGAAAGTCCCACAGCTTGCAAAC